GTGTGAGTGTTGTGTGATATCTCCTGTTAGTCAGACTAAAACTAGCATTATTTCTGTTAAACAGCAGAAAGATGTAAGTGAACGGTTTATGTTTGCTAAGCTGCCTTGCTCGTTCACGACTTGTCCGACAGCATGTTGCTACGCTATCTTTATGCAGTTGTGCTGTAAGATTATTAACTACTTTGTACACGGATAATATTTACAGTGAGTGAAACATTTGACTGTTAAAAAAACAGCAGGATGGGATTGACTTCAGGAGGACTGCTGTGGATGTTCTCCTGCCTGGCTGTTCACACATGCACCTCACTATCAGGAGGGGGGGGGGGGTCTCCTGAGGTAAGACGGGATGTAGAAAGAAAGACGTGGAAGTAGCAGCAGAGTCCTCTATATGACTCTATAATGAGAATATGTGTGTTTGTATCAACGCTGCGTGTAGCTGAAGAGAATCTCAAAGTGAACTAAAGAGAGGAGAAGAACATCCTGGAGAACAGGAAACATGCAGCAGCAGGTTGATTAGAGCACGGAGATGGTAGAGGTGGCGTGCAGACAGTCTATGGTCGTGCAGCGATCACAGGGAATAAAGGTCACCACCCCCTCCCACTGGCCCCTCCCACTGGCTCCAGGTGAATTCTCCTGATTATATCCTGCTGAGTTCTCACATCAGTGAACGCAATATCCACCTTATGACATCAAACCTTTGTTACCGTTCCGTCAGCGGTTTGACCTCACTTTGGGATCTCTAACCACTTCCTGTTTCTGTGCTTAGCTTCATGTCCTAACCTTCCATCTACCAGAAGGGCCTTATTTTATTTCAAAATAAAAGCACACAGCAAGTAAAGTCCTCTCAGCTGGAAGACAGTAAAATGATTCAAATAAAAGCCTAACAATTTTTTATTCATAAATGTAAAACAATTGATTTAAAAACGTGATTAAAAATGTGATTAATCAGGGCGCCGGTAGCCTAGTGCTTAGTGCGGATGCCCCATGTGCAGAGGCTGTAGTCCTCAAAGCATGTGGCCCTGGGTTCAAATCCGACCTGCGGCTCCTTTCTTGCATGTCATACCCCACTCTCTCTCTCTCTCTCTCTCTCCCGATTCATCTGCTCTATCCACTGTCCTGTCCCTAAATAAAGGCATAAAAATAAACCTAAGAAAATGCAATTAATCACGGTTAACTATTGAAATTTAGTGATCAATTGTGATTAAAATTGTATTTGTTTGACAGCCTGCTTATGAACATGTGAAAGAAAAGGTTATATTTTGGCAGGGTTGGCTTCTTTTTAAAAATGGTACACATACTTTAACAAAGTAGATTTTTATATCAAAACTCTGATTGTTATCAGAGTACAAAAAGCAATAATTGACTTTCACCAGTCAGGACAGAAGAGTTTAAATGAGGCAGCGAGTTCTGTCCTCGGCACCGGGCCTGTTGACCCAACACATCCATCAGCTTCAGAGCAGATTTAGCTGTTGGGTTGTGGTGATCTCCCTCCCTGCACCGACTTAATTAGATGGTATGAATCAAATGTTCTGTCACTAGAGGGCAGCAGAGTGCAGTAAATGACAATCTGTAGTTTCATGAGTAGCAAGATACAAAAGATCAAATCTACCAACTGGAACCTGAGAGCATGTTGTTTCTGTAGGGGGGGGGGGGTTAATCAAGTCTATCAAGTTCATCAAATGTTTAAGTTTGGTTTTCTTTACCCACCTTTACAGCTTCAGAGAGACAAGAGCACACATGCACGCCTGAAAACTTACAGATAATTTCAGGAGGACTTCCCCTGAAATCCTTGTTCACACATGATGCACCTCACAGCGGGCGACTCCACCCCGGTCAGGCGGGCTTTGTAGTCATCAGCCATACCTTGTCTCAACTCGCCAAATGATTCACCATGCTCTGTGGAGGTTTAGCAGCATCTCCCCTGTTGTTTTACCTGCTGAAAATACTCCTGACTCCCCGCCAGGAGAGGGCAGTACAGTTCAAGAAACAGATCATCAGCTTGCATCACGCTTTCCTCTCAGTGTCAGCATCTCTGCCTCTGAACGATCACCAGTCCGAAACAGATTAAAAACAGCCAGAGTTTTCTCCACGTGCTGACATTCTGTGTGTTTGATATTGAAAAATAAAAAAGGCTGAAAAGCGGGGAGTTATCCTGAGGAGTGTTTGGATCTTTGTGGTGAAATAAAAGAGACAGTGACGCAGCCTTTTCTCAGCTGATGGATCTGAACTGGCTCTCAGGAGAGTCCATCTGAGCACACTGTGCAATAACACCTCCTCCGTCATGCATTCACCCCCGTCCAGCCTGCTTTCCTGCTCCACAGTGACAGCTCCTCCGGACTGATTCATCGTTCACCTCCACTCCCGTGAAGGTGACGGAGCACCCGGTGTCGTCTTTGTGAACTTATTACACCTCTCGGTTTGTGTGGCGTTGAGAGCAGGAGATAAATTAGAGGGTGCAGATGTGAAGGAAGGAGTT